CTTGGTGGAGGGAGAAGGCAGTGTGGATGGTCTGGGTGGGATGGAAGGGGAAGTGGTGTGGGAGGATGATGGACCAAGCGGATGTTTTCAATCTTTGAGGAAAAGAAGGCTGGGATCTCTTCACACTTGCCGTTTGATGTGAGGATAGAGGAAGCTAGAGGGGGGCCCGAAGGAAGTGATGGTAATGATTGAAAACAGTGTCTTTTGGTTGTTTTTGGCCTCTTAGGATGACTTTGGAGTAAAAGTCAATTTTGACCTGTGAAATTGATAGGCGGTAGGTACAGAGTTGCTAGAGCCACAGATGGGGTTGAATTGTGAGGCCGAATTTCTGTTATCTGCGCTTGTGCGTCCGGGTTTGGGTTTTAAGTGAGCAGAGATGACTCTTGTACCAGGGGAGCGGGTGGATTAGGAAACAGCCCTGGATTTCAGGGGAGCCAGGGAATTAAAGGTTGTGGAGAGATGGTCGGTCAGCAGCTTGATGGCTGCATCAGGATCACTGTGGGTGGAAGGCCACTGGGAGAGGAGGTCTGAGGAAGAGGGCATTTGTGAGGGACTCAAGGGGAAGCTTTTTCCGGGATGGAAACAATAATGGAGGGCTTGGAAGAGGGGAGGGAGATGAGGAAGTGATCCAAGATGGTCTTGTCTAGATGAACAGTTCGGAGATGTCAAGGCCATGTATGATGACGAGGTCAAGGGGATGGCCACGGTTGTGGGTCAGTGAGTTGATGTTGAGGGTGAGGTTTAAGGAGGAGAGGAGGCCAGAGGAATGGGGGGATAGACCAAGGGAAGCTTGACAAATGAGGGCCACCCCGCCGCCACGTTGTTTGGGGCGGGTGGGTGGGGGGCTTCAAAGAGGGGGATGAGGTCACTAGGGGAGAACCATGTTTCCATAAGCCCAAGAATATCATCCAGATGAGGTCATGGATTGTAAGGGTTATATGGGAGAGGGAGCGGACATTTTGGAGGGAGATGCGGATAGGTTTGCTGTTGTGGGTGGGGGGTGATGGAGGAGAAAGTGGTTTAGAGAGGATTTGGGATTGTGGAAGAGAAATGGTCTTGGAGTTTGAGGAGGGGAGAGAGTTAGAGAGGGTATGGATGAGGGAGCGGAAAGGGCTGTTTGCCTTTCGGAGGCGGTTGGTGCGGAGAAAGTGTTTGCCAGATGGGGTGGCTACTCTGGGACAACCAATGCCGGGAGCCATGATGGGCCTGGTGGAGGATGCCCAGGCTGGAGCAGAGGGAGGTAATGGTGGGGTCCAGGAGAGAGAGAAGGCGAGGAGGGCGGCGGGAGAGGAGGACAAAGTGGGAGTAGCGGAGTGTGGGGGTTAGGAGCAGGAGCATTTTCCGAAAGAGCGGCTGGGGTCAGGGGGGCAGCCAAAATGCGCACTCAGAGACCGGGAGCAAGTGATTAGTGGGGCAACATCAGACCGTGGGCTACAGGAGACAGCACTGTGCGGGGGAGGGGGGGAGAGAGAAGATGGAGTTCATGGCTTTTAAGCTGTAATTAGTGCTGTCGTCCAATTCACTGAAAATAAAAGAACAAAAAGTCTTTGCATTAAACATTACAACATGATCGATTGCTGTCTGAATAGTTACTAGGTCTATTTTGATGCCAAACTTGGCCACATCTGTTTGGTTCCTGTCTATCAGTACAACAGCATTAACTGCTGAGAAAGTGAGCAGAGGTCCTGTTAGAAACTGAATCTTTGTCACTGGGTCCATTAAACAGTTCATTCACTGTTTAACGCATTGAATGGATCTGGATGTTCGTGTCGTTGACTCCTTTCTCCATGGACGTTCAGCTTGTGCTTCATGACGTTCTGTGATGAGACAGTTAGCGGCTCTTTGAGCTGCGTGGATCTGTCTGGTGGGTGATATCCGCATTCCCCCACAGAGCAGCCACACTCCCATGGTGTTGAACCTTTGAAGCACAGAAAGGGCTGGTTTGCAACACAAATGATTTAACTTTGATGCAGCAGAACCAAGACAAAATTGTCCTTTTATTACTCTTTTCTCCTCCCTCATAAAACAAACATGTTTGGGGAATCACGTTTATCACTTCTGCTTGGCTTTTATCTTCTCTACTGCTGTGCACAATTGGCTGCCACGTTTCGCCCACAAAATACAGTCAATCCACTTTACAGTGTATCCTGTGGAGCGCTTTGAGACATCTCAATGACGTGAAAAGGCGCTATAGCAAATGCAACGATTATTATTATCATCACTGTCCTTGACTCATTTTATTGGACGATGACTTGCCATGCTCAGAGTTAAAGCTGCTTTACTTTACTCAATAATCCCTGCATTTAATAAAGTGCCTTCAGCATGATGTCTCAAGGCACTTCACAGTGTTTACTGTAAACTGTCGTGACTGTGCATTTTGTAGGCAAACATAGTAGCCAATTTGCGTACAGCAATATCCCATGACTAAACATGAAGCGAATGACCAATTTTATCTGGGGATTATTGGCCAGCACACTGGGAGAAATTCCTTTCTCTTTTCAATTCATACGACATGATCTTTAATGTGCACCCGAGAGGGCAGAAGGGACCTTGGTTTAACATCTCATCCAAAGAACGGAACCTCCTGACAATGCAGCGTTCCTCCAGCATTGAATTGAAATGTCAGCCTAGATTGCGAGTTTAAAGGCCCAATCTGGGGTTTAAGCCCACAACATTTTGACTCAGAGTCAAAAGTACTACCCACTGAGCCAGGCTGACATTTATTTACTTTGTCCGTGATTTTTCTCAGCGGATGGTACTGGGGGCCACTTATATAATAATAATTGTTACATTTCATATAGCACCTTATCACTTTGTTGAGACGTCTCAAAGGGCTTCACAGAATATATTGTAAAGTGAATTGATGGTGTATTTTGTGGGCGAAACGCAGCAGTCAAGCGCGCACAGCAGTGTCCCACAAACAGTCATGGATTGAGTGACCAAATTATTATTTATTTACAGTGTTTTTTTAAGGGATTATTACCCCCAGAATGCGATCCCCAGAATAGATCCATATCTAACCAATATGCTACTAAAGTGAACCCACTGGAGTAAAATCAAGATGTTCATTGGAAAAAAGAATCTCAGGGATACTAAGAAGCAGCTTTATTTCAGAAGTAATGAAATTTGAGTGAAGTCTGTGGAACATGCAGGCATTGATAAATGTTACGTATTTCCACAAAACGTTTTTCTCAGCAGTCTCTTTTTATTCAGAATGTATGCAGTGTCATCTAGTGGTTGAGGGGTTGAATTTTCCTACGAAACAAGGTTCTATACTGACGCATCACCACAGAACAGGGAAAGGAATTCCTCTTGGGGCTGGATGTGTTTGAGCATTTCAGGTTACTCAGAAATTTGGACAATTCTTAAATTCAGTTCCTAAACTAAAGATCCCATGATTACTATTCCAGCACCTTGGGACATCATGCTAATGTAAAAGATTGGAATCAAAATAATTTCTTTCATGAATCACATAAGTGCCTGAACACTCATGCTTTTGTTGAAAATAATGCATTCCTTAAAGTACAGCCCAGCATTCCTTAAGGTACAACCAATAACAACTTGTTTATATAGTGCCCTTCACACAGGATTTGGGACTGGAGCACATCACAATGCTTAAAATACAGCCCACTATGTTGCTTAAAATACAGTCAGGCATTGCTTAAAATACGATCCACTGCAGCTTGAGTTATTTCAGATTGGCTGATCTTTGCATTCCTGTTGTGCTACTCTGCAGGAAGCAGGCTGATAAAACGTGTTTAGCTCGGCAGACAGTTGAGTTTGCTGCTCAGTAACTGCCACATCAGAAATTGTAATCACACAAAAATGTGCAACTCTGAAGAATGTCTTTGGTCTTGAATGGGACGTTCATTCTTGTGTTTGTCAAAGCATGAAAGGAAATGGGTCTGAGCAGCCTCCTGGGGCACATCCAATTGCACGTTAGGCAATAGCAAAACATGGTGGAGGATCATCGTCACATCTCAGTTACAGTGGCTGAATGGATGGTGCAAAGTTTTCATCTGGCAGAGAGATGCCACAGAAGGTCCTGCGGGTGGGGGGTGCAGCTATGTGATGCTGATGCTATCTTGAGACTGAGAGGTGTTTGCTGGCAGGGCTGATGGTGTCCAGTGAATGATTATTTCTCTTAAGAATCCGGATTAACATTGTTGGTTGGCCTTGTCACTTCTAGTTTCATGCTGGTGGTGCAGTTGCTGCATTGACCTTCTCAGCGAAGAATTAACAACTGTAAACGTAATCACTGCAAACAAGCAAGGAAACAATTCACAGTCGATCACCAGGTCACTCACACCACCTCAAGTATTTTTACAGTGGGTTCCTCTTAAAGTGTTACTGAATTCACTCACAACTTGTTCACTTGGCTCCTTGTTGTATTAAACTCAGCGATCAAGTTCCCTAGGAATATCATTATTCCTAGGCTGTGTCACAAAATTGTATCAGATGACGAATACCCTTCAGGTCATATGATCTCACCCTTCCAGAAAACTTACTCTCCCTGTCTTTCCATCACAGCATCAAGCTTTTTTTTAATGAGTCCCACAACCTGGCCTCAAACACCTTTCCTACAAACCTGTTCCAGTTGTTAATTACCCTCTGGGAAAATAAATACTTCCTGGTGTCTATCTTGGCATTGGCCCTTTGCAACTCCAAACCTCTGTCCCCTTGTTCTTTTGTCTTAGTGCATCTGAAACTAAAATGTGTAGTTGAGATGTCAAGTTTGTTAAATTGAATGACAAGTTTTTCAATGTGATGATGGTGTTTCTTCAATATATACAGTATGTATTGTTCAAAACATTATATGGCTGTTTCAGTGTCTCAATCATTGTTACTGTGGGCTGGAGGAGTTGCTGAGTTGACCCGGTTTCTTTTCCCATGATCTTGCTGTGATGTTTTGCTTCCCTTGTGATTCCCAGGATCACTGTGCTGCTTGATTGTGTGATGCACATTTGTCCATTGCGTTCTTCTCTTCTTACTTCCCACAGGATGGTAACCCTGGTTCAAGAGGAATGGCTTCGCTCAACTTCAACCGCTACGCCACCATCAAGAGCATGGCAGAGGGCATGCTGGACATTGCTTTACTGATGTCTAATGCCTCGCAGCTTGTTACGGTTGTCACACATGGTTCAGGATCTGCCTACTACACTCCCCTCATTGTTCTGATTTCTCTGTCTCTCGTACTTCAGATGACAATTTTTATCTTTCTCGTTTTTATTGGTAAGTTGATAATAATAATAATCATCCTTGCATTTGAGTTTCTTCAAATATGCCTTCTGATAATTCTCCTGAAAATGTCATTAATTTGATTGCTGTTTTTGGGGACATTGCAGTGTGTAACCTCCTGCATACATACACAGTCACTGCACTTGACAGACATTTCCTGTCTCTCAACATTTTTCTGTGCAAACTCTTGTCTAACTCCTTGGAATGTCCTTCCGACATGAAAGGTGCTATATAAATGCAATTTGCTGCTTGTTGTTGTCAAATATATAAAAAATTCAACATGAACGTAGTCATCATGAAGTGTTGTCATCGTATTCCTCTGTACCCTGGCCCCTCTGTCTGTTGTGGTCTTTGTAAGCTAAAGGTCAGCATTAGTGACGGTATGGTGAAATGTCTCATTTGCAAGAGTTGTTATGAACATTGCGTGCTAAAAGAAAAGGGCACGTGATACAGGAGATCTTTATGATTCAGGTTTCCGACTCTGGTATTGAGTGTGTTGTATTAGAGAATAATCCTTGCATTTGGCATGTCGTCAAGGCGTCTCAAAGCACTCACTGTATAGGATTTGTCGTATGTCAGCAGCACACAGAATATCGTGCGTCAGTAAGGGAGAGCTTATAGTTTCCCGATTAATGACACAGCAGTGGATGTGACAGAGGGTTATTTTGATGGGGCTGGAGGATTCAATGTGTTTCTGTGGGTTCTTGATGTGGCTGATTTTTTTGTTCAGCTAAACTCAACGTGAATGAAGTCGACAAGCAGAAAAGGCTGAACCTGTTGAACAATGTTGCCACCCTGATGGTTGGAGCCGCTCTGGTCGTGAACGTGTTCATCACTGCTCTCGGAGCGCACAAGAACGTGAAACAAACTGCCACTGGCATCACAACCCCACCACCATACAGCGGGAAATGAGGTGAGTTACACAGTTTATTGTACAGTTAAAGTTGCTGTTTTTTAAGACCATTTCACGTTTTTCGGTACCAAGTACTGGAAGCTCAAGTGCAGCAGTGTCTGGTGGAAGCCCTAAAGGCCAGGAAAGACACAGGTGGGTTTGCCAATTCTCTTTAAAGTATATTCTGTGAAGCACTTTGAGACGTCTAGAAGACATGAAAAGCACTATATTAAATGCAAGGATTAGTATTATTATTATTATTTAATCAGCTGGGCAACACCACCCCAAGGTGACTCGCCCTCCCATTTCTAATTTGTAGTTTAAAGGTTAATCTGCTTGACCGTTCAGAAATCAGACAGTCTTCTTCCCCAAGCGTGAAGACCTCTTTTACCTGACTGATAGAACTGCCAAGGTGGGGCTCTTCTGATCACTTTAGCATCCTGCTTTACGGAGACTGAGTGCCTCCTCACGCATTGTGCCTCAAGCATTTCTCTGAACATTCACTCCCTGTCACGATGCTGGTTTCACCATCTCTGTCCATGAAGGAGAATCCAGTATCACCTATTCTCTCCCCACCCCCCACCGCCCCTCATACCTCCACCTAGAAGAAGAACTTAGTGTGTGGGAAATAGTAGTAACAAACCTACCTCACTCTCCGGTACCATGTGCTGAAAGCCAGAGTGTTCAGGCTGGGACCCACAATATCCTATCCTTTCCTTTCTCCTGGAATCAGTCATCTCCCTCATTCAGTGGGTATCAGCACCAGGATTCTTGCTCTGCCTCTGGGGTAATTGTAGCTTCCTAAAGTTTTGCCTTCAGGAATGACTGTGAAGTGTTTGAGCGTGATTAGAGCATTATACAATGTAATTGTAATTGTGCTGAAAAGCATTATACAAATGTAATTTTGTTGTTGTTGTTATTAAAATATGACAGCTGCTTCTTTACTTTCCTTTGCTTTTTTTCAAGTGTTATGTCTCTTCAGGACCCCTCCGATGGTTTACAAAGAATCTCTGACGGAACGGTGGGATGACTGAAACTGTTGAAGGTGTGACCGAGGCGTGAATCTTTTAAATGAGCCACTTCTGGCACTGGAAAGTGTTTAGGAAAAGAATATCAGTGGCATTGGTTTACTCCTGACACGAATGGTATCATCCATAATGCATGATGGTGCCACTCGTGCCCACAGTTAGATCACTGCTGTGTACAAAAAAATTCAAGAAAAAGTGTTAACAGTGGCCCCTGTGTTTTTTTTAAAAAATCACAAGATTGATTTGGATGAAGAAAGCCCTTCAGCCGATCGGATCTCATCCTTCCAGAATAACGTCCTCCCATCACATCATCAAGCTACTTTTTAAATGATTCTTGTGTCCCAACCTCGACCACCCTTCCTGGCAAATGGTATGCTCTCATTGCAATTGATAGCTTTGATTTTCCCAGCAATCAATATGGCATCTCTGAGGAAGAGGTTTTGGACCAGGTTCTCTTTTATAAAACAAACAAATGTTCCTGCACAATCTTAACAGCAGGATCTCCATAGGAATGATTTTTAAATAATTTTATAGCCATCCTGCTGTTGAGACTTGTGAACGACCGGGATTCCTGTTTCTTTTGGATCACCTCCCTTTAGCACAAAAGTTGAGCCTAGTCACCTCCCAATCCAAACTAAGCATTCCAAACATGTCAAAGCACCTCATGTTTACTCCAATTGTATGGAATTCTCAATGTATCTACATGACTGTACCTGGAAAATCCAGATACAAGCATAAACATTCCTCAAATTATTTGTATTTTAAAAAAAAATAAGAACAATGACTGCCAAATTCCATCTGGAGAAAGGTTTACATTTAAAAATCAGATTTGTGTTTGTTTTGTATGTAACTGTTGTGTTCATGTGTACTTCACCTAAGATCGATGGTTCATTGGCACAAATGCAATCTAAAATATGTTGCATTAATCCAGAGAACTGTCATGCGATTCCTGCCCTGCTCAGTCAGCTAGGGAATCGTGCCTCAAACCTGTGCGAGGGACACATTGTTAGGTTTGCAGGGAGTTAAACTCCATCAGCAAGTCTCTTCTAATCTGTTCACAAGCACATGGAGCAATGACATAACTCAGTGCAACATTTTGCTATATCATAGAATATTCTGAATGATCAAAATTACTCTTTGCCAAACAGAAACTGCGCTTAAAACTCATATTGTCCTGAATACAGTGACCCTTTAAGGTGAATAAAATACATTGAATGTAATGTGTTGAGAGATGAGAGAAGGAGAACCAGGAATACTCTGCCATCTGGGGTATAGGATGACATCTTTCTGAGACAGGTATCAACCTGAACATCTCACAATTTCTAATGAATTTTTAGATCATTAAGTAAAGAGATAGTCAGATTAGAATTGCAAGTGAGTTTAATATTAGGGACGGTCTTCAGTTACTGGCAAACAGGCAGGCAGACACAAAGGTATCACAAAACTGACATTTGACTTTTAATTGGACTGTGGTGGAGTGTGTCGATGCATTGACTGTGGTGTGTGGAAGCTTGTGTCTGTGTGACAGGGAATTTGTGCCAGTGGCTGTTTTATTCACGTTAAAGGAGTCTATCTTACTTCAGGAAGCAATAGATGTGTTATACCAGCTACACAACAATTCGAGCCAGTCATAAGAAGACATCAGCCAACATCAGAGTGGTGCCAAACATCGGTCTGCTGCACACAGACCCCTTTAAGGTTCAAGGGACATAAAAGTGCCTTATGCTTTCTTGCCGGACATGTACATATTTTGCTAAAAACTTGTTACATCATTTGAAATGCCCTTTAAGTGCGTTATTTCTTTAGTCTAACCAAACTCGTCATACGCGTAAGATTAAATGCTAATGATATATGCAAATAAAAATATGCGGAGCTGGGTCAGACTGAGTCATTGTGAGTCAGCTCAGGAGGTTGTTTAATTGGAAAAGATTCAGAGAAAAGCAAAAAGGATCATGCCAGGCCTCGGAGTTCCAGAGGGAGGAGGAGGACAAGACAAAATACTGAGAGGAATTGATGTCTTAGTATACACTATGTGACCTGGACCATGTGAGGCGAAGTGGAACAAAAGGTTTCCAATGAAAAAAATGAAACAGGACTGGAGATCAAATGATTTGTCCCCCATGTGGGTAAATGGAACTAAAAGCAATAAAAGCAGATGTAGCTGAGTCAATTAACTCCTTCAGGAAATAATTTGAATACTTACTTGAGAACAGTAATAATAATAATATTAATAAACCTTGCAATTGATATAGCGCCTTATTACGTTGTTGAGACCCCTCAAAGCACCTCACAGAATATATTGTAAAGTGGAGTGACTGTGTATTTTAGTAGCAAAGGTTGTAGAGATGAATGCAGATTAAGATTAACACTTCTCTAAGGTTCACGATCAATGGTTTGTGTGCTCGTTGATGGGTTCAGGGGTGGATGTTGGCTGAGGAAGAAAGGAGGTCAGGATTGACCAGTGGCGGTGTCACTCGATGGTTATTCCTGGAATTCAAGAAATATCTCTGCAGTACTTTGCTCTAGGAGGTGGAGAGAGTGGGGTGAGTTCTATGATCAGGGGTTTCAGGGGGTTAGGGATAATCTGCATTTGATGAGTGAGTGGCCTTTTTATTCCACGTTTTATAAATTCTTGGTATTAAAAGTATTAAGATCATCCACGTATTGAGTGTAGACCTGACTGACTGGTGACCCAACCGGCAGCCTTATCTGGGTCCACTCTCTGGCCCTGTGTTATAGAATTTGCCAACTAGCTGCCTGATTTGCTACAAAAGAGACATTAATTATCTGCAAAACCCTTTGAGCTGTTTTAACATGACAGCTGCCACATCAAATGCAAGAATTCTTGTTATTTACAATTTATACAATAGTTTTGATATTTAGATAGAGAATTAGGGATACCTTATGAAGTACAACTTATGACTAGGAAATATTTCCACCCATGTCTGCAATGTCATAGACACAAAAATTGTTAGGTGTTTTGCTTCGAAACACTTTGTCTTCAATAACTGTATGAATCTGGTGGTAATAAATATTTTATACTCACAGTGTTAAGAAAAAGATTAATCTGAACAATTCTCTAGCTCATAATAAAATGGTCACAGACATTTCCGAGTCTCACAGATTATTCAGGAATCTCACCAAAATAATGCAGTTTCACTGCAATATGAGCTGGTGTTTTGACGATGCAGAGAACCATGGAGTTGAGAATGGGAACAAAGTATTCGGGGGATGAAATACCCTCTGATTCCTCCTATGTATAAAGTAAAAGGCTATTTCAGCGAAGAAGGAACCAGTGCTTGTTTGTGACATCTGAAGTGATGTATTCTGCAGAAGAGATGCAAGCTCATCAGTATTGCCTATTTCTCTGTTTCAAGAGGCCATTTTACTGGAAAGGAACTTTTTTTTTACATCATGTAAGCATACTGACGCAAAATGGCTTTCTGATGCAGCATAAGAACAATTATAATTAAGTCAAATTTCATTGTATTTAGTATTAACAAGGTACTTCTTCAATGTCTGGCAATATATTTTAATTACTACATCCTAATGTTGACGCTTCTAATCTTGTTAAACACACAATTTACATTTTATTCCAGTCATATCATGTATTATTCTCAATATCATAACATATTATTATTTTATATGCAAACTTTTACAATAAAAAAAGTTGGAGGATAACTGTTGTGATCTTGCGTTTCTCTTTGGGTGGTTTCTCATGAGGTGTTAAACATGACTTTTCGATCTTGTTTGGGAGAAGGTAAGTGGTGTTTCTGGCATTAATCCTTATTTGAGGTGACATAAATAACCCTATATTGGCTCCCTCCTACCCCCCACCTCAGGTGCTGATTGCCTCTACATGTTCATTGATGAAATGACTGGCAGGTATGCAGAAATTAAGAACAGTAAATAGATTTCTATTGGCCTTTTGAATTTGCTGACACAATCTGGTTTCATCTCCTCCCTGGGGTGTCCTATACATTCACCACTCTGTGTGAAATGATAAATCAGCCAACTTGCCTTACTCTCTTTCAGCTTTCCCTTGGTAAATTCTATCCCATACATTGGAGTATATGTGCTCCCTGTTACCTACAACAACAACAACAAGATTACATTTGTAAAGCGTCTTTCACGTCGGAAGGACATCCCAAGGCATTGGACAGCGTACAGCATTTCAGACCTGAGCTGGGGTCGGGGGGGGGGGGGGGGGGGAGAAAGGAGGGGAGGGGAAGGGGGGTGGCTGATGGCATGGTCGAGAAGGGTCTTGAATACGTATATGGGTATCTTGCATTGGTCTGCATCGACACTAATTTGACACTAATTTAACAATGAAAATTTGCTAGGTGCACATCCCTTGAACTATGGGAAAACAGCACAGGTGAGTTTTCTGCAGATTTTTGCACTCTCATTATAGCAGCACCTAACCAGTTTCAGGGTGTTTGACTGACAGCGCAGTCAATGCTGGGCCCCTGTGGGAATCATGGGTATGAGCTCAGCTTATGCTCAGGGCTGTCATATCGCGTCAGTGAAAGGAAACACACAATGTTGGTGTCTTTGTTTTCTAAGTTGTTTATTGTTATAATGTCTGACCTCTATCAGTTGCTTGACATCTCTTTCGTTCCGCAATGGGAAAACATGCGCAGTTCCACAATCTTACACTTAGTAAGTTAATTTCTTCAGGAAATGAAAACTGCTGGAGTGATAAAACACAGAATATCCAATACAATCTCTGTAATCCACTTTAATCTCTTCCAAATTGCATTAGTGTTCCATAGACTTGATTCTGAGCTCTGTGTCGCACTCTCAGGGCAGCCAGAATGAACCCATTATCTTCACCAATTTATCTTGTAGTTTCAATTCTATAGGCCCTCAGCTTAAATATTTGTATAAAACAAATATAAATCTTAGTGCCATCATAGGTTTTAGACCAAGACCATGTTAGCAGCAGTGTAGTGAAAATTGGTGGCACATTGCAAGCTCTCATCTATATCTCCATAGTTTTCCTTCAAATGGGGTTTCATGGTATTTTTTCAGTTACTGGTGGCGTGGATTGTACATATCCATGGAAGGGTTTTAGTCTCATGCCCTGTGAGTTAAGGTAGTACAAAGGCTAGTAATGGACAATGTTCTCTCCCTCAGAATCTGCTTCATGTGTGGGACTCTGTAGTCAGAATAGGAAACACGATTTTGGAGATCAAATTCACCGCCAGGGGTTGAATGGCT